CCCATCCCCATTGCCCACTGGCTGCTGTAACACTGGTGTCTAGAGTCTAGCCCAGAAACTAGGGCACCCTCAATAAATATTCACTGAAGCTGAAATTAATAAATCTTACCTGAGAAACCAGTTAGGTGGACTATAAAATGACTAACATTTTCTTTTATTTTTTTACAACTTTATTAAAGTAATTATGTGTAATACACTGCACACATTTAAGTTGCACAATTTAATGATTTGTCTCTACCTAGAAAAGCATCAACATTCTGAAGACTTTGACTATTTCTCTGTTTCCAAATTTCTGTTTCCCTTTCCAATCTTTCCCTTCCTCTACCTCTGTCCCTAAGCTGTCAGGGAAAGGGTTAAAAATAAGAATCAGCACAATGCAGATGTTTGCTAAAATTACCTTAGTTACATGCTTTTCTGCAGAGAGGCTGACTACGTCTCTTGAGAAAAGAGTATATAGAGATAACTGTTGATACCTAAAGGACTGACCTTTCCTAGGCTCTGGCCAAGGCTAGGAACGATCCCTTCCAGACATGCAGGCCTGTTGGTACCAAGCCACCTTTGTGTAAACTGTATATATGACTGGAAAATCTAGAGTGCAGCTCAGTGACCCTCACCAGTGCCGGCCAAAGGCCCTACGGGTCTGTGCAGAACGCTCAAGGGGGCTAATGCCTTCGCTTCCCCCTATGCTTTCCTCTGGCATTTATGTGGTGCAGTAACTTTGTTTTCTTATTCGTTCTTTGCTCTCTAATAAATACTTTAAATGTATGTGCTGTCAGAGTGGCTCTTCTCCATTGGTGTGGACTTGAACCTCAAACTTCTGCGGCCACATATGTGACGCCTTGCTGTCGCACAGGCAAATGCTGGTATGTCACTATGAGATCCTATAGTATAACTTCTTTTTTTCTCAATTTTTTTCACTGAGCATAATGATTTGAGCTTTATCTATTGTATATATTTGTTAATAGTTTTTTTTTTTTTATCTTTGGGTTAAATTCCACTGTACAAGTGACCATACTTTGGTTATTCATCTGCTAAGGGACATTTGATTTTAGCTTTTGGCTCTCACAAATAAAGATAGTATGAAAATTCAGGTATTAAATCTTTCTGTGGACAAAAGCTCTTATTTCTTTTCGATAAAAACCAAGGAATTGAAGGGCTAGATCATAAAAGTATATTTAAACACTCTGAGAAATAATTTGATCTTCCAGGGGTTCTACCCTTTTTTGGTCCCACCAGAGTGCACAGAAAATTCAGTGGTTCCAAGTCCTCAGTAGTAGCCAGTCCTTTTCCTTTTTGCTGCTCTTAGTGGTTTTAATTTGTATTTTTCTAACAGCTAATATGGTAAAAATTTTTTCATGTGTATAGCTGTCATTTGTATCTTGTTCCACAAAATAACTGTCCCATCATTTTAATGTTTTTATTTGTTTCTCTTATCATCATCATGTTAAGAATTCATTGTATCTAAAATTCTGGATAAAAATTATATACATATTATGTATAATTTTTCCAATTCTGTGGCTTGCTTTCTTTGTTCAATTGTGCCTTTCAAAGAGCAAAATATTTGAATTTTAATGAACCTCAGCTAAAAATATTTTTTACTGTTCAAGGTCTTTGAATGTATTAGAATCTTACCTATTTTCATATTGCTAAGGTAAGGTGGGTTTACTCCTAGAAATTCTTTAGTTTCAGCTTTACCTTTGGGCATATTGCCCATTTTGTTTAATCACTGTGTATAGTATGAGGAAACGTTTTCTCTGCCAGCCAGATACTTCCAGTATTCATAATACCATTGAGGACACTTCCCTTCCCTCACCGGATAGCCTTGACACCTTTGTCAGAAATCAGTCAATTGCATTCGTTAGTCAGTTCATCCATTAGAGTTCTTTCTATCAAGTATATGAAACACACACAAAAGGTTCTGTTTTTGCCTGTTTCAGCTGTGTCTTTTGTTTGTGTTTTCCTTTCCTTGTCATATTCCAGTAGCCAGGATAGCAGTGCAGGCACATTTATGACATCCTAGTGCTGGTGGGGAAAGCGTTAGGTTTTCACTATTAATTATATTACCTGAAGGAGGATTGCCACAAGTGCTTCTTATAAGAATGATAGATTTTTCAATGATTCCCAGTTCTCTTAGAGTTTTATCATGAATTGGTAATTAATTCTGTCAAATATTTTTATTTATTAACGTGATTATAATGGTTTATGTTTTGTGTATTAATCAGTTAATTACACAGATTAAACTTCTAAATAAGAAATCAAACACATCCCTGGAATACAGTCCAATCTCCCACAATTCCACTATGCATTTAAACACATCTGGGCATTTAAACACATTTCTGAGTCCCGGGTCTTTAGAAACGAGGGTGGTACAAAGGGAATTTTTCCAATGAGTATCATGTGGGAAAAGATCAAAAAAATCCTTGCTAGATTTCACGATCTGCTTCAGAGGAGAGAGTGGAAAGGTAAAATGACTTTCCTGCTTCTGCTCTTTTCTCAAATGCCAATGTAGCATAAGTAAGGGTAGTATGTTTTGAATTCCATAAAAAGTATATATTTTAACAATAAAGCAGTTTCATATAATTATTTAAATCTTTATTATATCTTTAATGTTTTACACAAAAATAAAGGGATAAAGGAAGGAGGAAGGTAAGGAAAGAAGGAAGGATGGAGAAAAGGGGGGGAGGGAGAAGAGAATTAACTAGAAAAAGTACAGTAGTTATGGTATTGGTTGGAGCACTTTTAGCTTCTGGGTGGGTAGGCGAACTACTGAGACACTGATAATGACTCTGTATTTATTGGCAAGTCAGAGGAGAGAGCGGGATTTTAAGTGGAAGAAATATACAAAAATTTGGAAAGCATACGTGGTCTTCTTCATTTCATACTATTTTTAAAATTTAGAACAAGAACTTCATAAATTTATTTTGCTGTCCATTTGGATCCAGGAAAAATTAGCAAAAAAAATCCATGAAACTATTTAAATATCTTCACTAATGAAGATAATCCATATATAGTACATATTATATAGAATGAACAATCACGTAAAAACTTCTTCATTCATTCATGTCTAAAATTGTGATGTGAAAAGAAAACAACAGAAAACCACACACTAGTTTTGCAATGGCAAGCAGAAACACCTAAACGGTACCCTGGATTTGGAGGCAGATTTATTTAACATCAGAAGGGCACTGACTAGGAATCGTTTGCTCTTCAAAATATCAGGCCCTGAAGGCTCAAGGAGGGAGGTTTTCATGAGGATGGTTGCAAAGGGGGAGCATAGAGCAGAGAACTTGGCCGTCTCTGATTGGTTCTTAAAATATGCATCATAGTGACCAGCTGTGCATCACAGTGACCAGCCGTTTATGGGAGACAGAGGTAACATGAACTTGTAACAGGAACTGTTACCTGGGTAACTAACAGACTGTCTAGGGGGCACTTTCTGGACAGCTTATCCTTCTTTATGGCAGAGTGGTACTCCATTATATATAAAAAAAAACCCATATCTTCTTTATTTATTCATCTATTGTTGGGCAGTTGGGTTGTTTCCAAGATTTGCCTATCACAAACTATGCTGTTATAAACATGGTTTCACATACATTGCTGTGCTATGATGTTTTTAATTCTTTCAGGAAGATACCAAGAAGGGGAATAGCTGGGTCAAATGCATCCTCTAGTTTTAGTTTTTTGAGAAATCTGCACATTGATTTCCACAGGGTTGCACCAGTCGACACTCCCACCAACAGTGGAGAAGGGTTCTAGCTAATGGATGCACCCTGAGACTATATTTTTAAGTGAAGTAAATCACATATATGTTTAAATATTGCATTGTTTCTCTTGTGTGAGAATGAAAAGTGTAAATAAGGACCAAAATGTATAATAGATATTGAGAAGTGAGAAGGAAATGTTCAAATGGAAAGAGGAACAAGGCAGGGGTGGGGGAAGGAAGGAAGGGACAAGAAAAAAATAACAGAAGGGAAAAAATGGAAACAAAGCCTTTGTAAATAAGGAGGTGAAGAGGGCTTGAAGGAAGGGGAGAGGAATGAGGAAAAAAAGAAGCAGCAAGATATATCATGTACAGGCACCAATTCTTTATGATAAATGCTATTATGTATACCTAAAATAAATACCATTAAAATATTTTTTAACGGTGGAATACTGAGACACTAAAAAAATAAGAAAAGAAACCACACACACTATAATATCAATTTTCTTTATCACAAGGCATTTTATAAGCAATTATTCAAAGGATATACTATCTCAATTTTTATAGTTCAAATATTTCTTAATGATACTGTGTGTGTATGTGAATATGCAATCAAAGTAGAACTGAGTTTGTTTTCATTTACTGACTCCATGTATGAATTTAAGGTTCCCTCAGACATTGATTAGTATAATTAGAAGTAGTTACTTAAACTACAACTGGTGTTTCTTTTCCTACATTTTCTGTGCACTATTGGTTTCAGACTAAATAAATTTCATTCCTCCATTATAATCTTTTGCTTTATCACTAAAACATCTATTTAAAAATGTAATTCAAATGATAAAAAGTTGAAACGATAAGGATACAGGAAATAAATGTGGCAAAGAAATGATAAGCCTATAAAATACTACCTTACTATAAAGATTCTCTTGTATATTTAAGAGTTACATCTTCTCAGGCTTCTAAAACTGACTATTGTTACTTTCAGGAAATCCACAGGCCATTCCAAAGTGAATCTGAAGTTCTTGTCTCTTTTTTTTTTTGGTACTGAGAATCGAACTCAGGACCCTGCACTTGTCAGGCAGATGCTTATGCCAGTGAGCTATATCCAACGTGAACATGGAGTTCTAATGAGCAAGTCTCAACTACACTATGTTAAACTGTACCTCCATATTAAAACATTGTATACTAAAACCAAAATCAAATTCAATAGTATCTTTCATTTTTTTTTTTTTCTTTTTGAGACAAGGTTTCACTATGCAGTTCAGTCTGACCTTAAATTTGCTTTGTAGTCCAGGATGGCCTTGAAATCACAATGATCCTCCTGCCTCAGCCTCCTGAGTGCTGGGATTACAGACATGTGCTGCCATGCCTGGCCTTTCTACTTTTGACTTTAGAATAAGTTATTCTAATGAAAAATCATCAAGATTTTTGGGTAGCTTGAGCAGTGCTTTCCAAAATCTCAAATATATTATATTCCACGTGGTGACTGAAGTATAAAAGGAACCAAAGTTCCTCTTTGTGACACTTCTTTTACTACACTGCTAAAGCTTGAAACAAAATTCATGATCTCAGTTCCCCTACGAAAGTGTTCAAAATGTAATACAAAGAACTTCTTCAATGTGACATGTCATGAATTAGAAATGTAATATAAGCAGATTCTTCTGCAGAGAATTTTGTCTAAACTGAATTCTCCTGACAGTAGTCTAACAGGTGAAAAGCCAACTCATTTCAAGAAATACTGACTTTATCAGGAAGTGTTGCTTCTGTCATCCACAGGATAATGCAGAGACATCAAAGGAAGTTGTTTGCTACAGTAACAAGAGCGGCTAATGGAACAGGTAGAATGAATAGAGATAGCCAAATCAGAAGGTGCAGATTCTTATTCACAGTTAGCAGCTGTACAAATTACTCAGCCAATCCCAATACACCTTTCTCTGTACCACAGTGGTAATAACACAGCCTGCTTCTGAGAGTTTTGGAGAAGGCAAGAGGTAAAGTGCTTACAGTTTTCCCAGCATAGAACATTGATGCCCTAAATATATTAGATAACTATACCCTAAAAACTAGCAACCAATACAAATGCTTGGTAAGACACCATCAAGCACAAAACTTGTGCCATATTTCAAGGATTACAGTACTTGGATGAATTTATAAATACATTACCTCATCTTACTTGTACATACTTTTCATATATTTAGTAGATAATACTGACATTTTCACATTCTACACTGAAAGGCTGGAAACATCCTTCCTAAGAAAATATTTAGAGTTACACACAAGAGGATGACCAAAAGCCTACAGACAATTCCCCTAGGAAGACTGAGGTCTGTCCTCATTCATTTAACTAAAGTGTGCGTAGCTGCCTGGGTGTGAGTATGTTTATATTTCCACAGGTCAGAGTTTGGTTTTACTCCTAGAAATCACCAACTCCATTTGCAGTAAAGGCATACATCAAAATTTAAGGACACTTTCACAAAAAAACCCTCTAAGTAGCATTCCATTTGAATCCATAATACATGTGTTTTATGCTGGTATGTGGTAGCAACATTATTATTTTATTCAGATATTAATGAATATCCATAAGAAAATCAATCACAAAGGCAGAATACACGGTATGATACCTGTGTGCTTATGTGTGTGGTTTGCCTCTCGTAAGGATCTTTTTGTCCCAGAACAGCTAAAGTCTGAATTTCTGAGGTGCAGAGAGACAGAGTTCTCAGTGTTGGAGAGCAATATCGGTTAGGGAGTGAGCTTAAAAGAATTTACTCCTTCCCCTGCCCATAATTCACTAGAGAATCCTCTTCCACTACCAATAGAGTGGGAGATAAATTTATGTAATGATAACTATTTTTCATTTTCTAAAAATAAATTTAAAATATACATCATTTCAATTATACATGCTTCCTTCTACTCGCTGGTATAGAAACTACTAACGTGAGAGCAAAGCTGTCAGTCTCAAAAAACTTCCTGCAGCAAAATTCTTAAAACAAAATTCAGATCCTTTTTCTTTTCATGTTTTAAGCAGAGTTCGTCTTCTATTAGGAATAAGCGCCTGGTTTCTTTACCCATTTAGTAAGGTTTGGGAAAAGAATTCCTTCCTTCAAATATAATTATTTGATTTTCTGGAATGTCATCTTCTTGCAAAGCCACTGGTGTATATAACAAATTCCACTTAAATACAGGCATTTTGCCATTTCAACATGAACATTTAGACTGTATGTCAAGGAATACATAAGATCCGCATAGTCTTTCTCAATCAGGTCTTCATCCAGTTCACTTCCGAAGCCTAATCAACATCAAATATGGAGAAGCACCTTCAGTCTTTAATTCACTGTAGAAGAGAGAATGCAGGTATCAAAGAGGAGCATATTAAACTCTAGTGATATAATGACTCTAGCATCATCAATACAACCATATGACTCCAACTGAACCAACTGCTTTGACCTAAGAGTTGGCCACTAATGGATCACTCTAATCAGTTCTCCTATAAGCACTATATGGTAGGACTACACTGGGAGAAATTTAACATAGGCAGTGAATAGGACAAGTGTGAGGAAAAGCAAGGGGAAAGCCAGAGAGTAAGAGCCTGTGTCTGCCCTTCCCCTCAGTGGAGATCTGCCCCAGAGAGCACTGGAGATGAGAAATACAAAGCACCTGTTCCCCAGGCTGTCTCAGTTATCCAGGTCTCTCACAACCTGAATGCCTTTCCTCCCTGTGTGATTCCAGCATCTAAAACTATCCATGTGTGTACCTCTGTATGCATACACGCACCTATGTATATCTGCATATATAGATATGCATATCCTGCTCTTTGACAATACAGCTGCTCATCTTAAACAAGCCACTTCTGGTGTTTAACTCAAGAAACATCTGTTTTAATGCTCAAGGAAAAAAATATTTTATTTGTTTATACTTACATAGAATTATATATCTTGGGTAGCATAATAGGTTTGGCAAGAATAGATTTTAAGCACACATGATTTTATGTTTTTGCTTTGATGGCTACATTTGAACTCCAATCTCTCCCTAAAGTTATAATTCCATTTTACATCAGTGAATGCAGGTTTACCTAACCATATTGCCATATTTACATCATAAGGCAGCCAGTGGGCAATACTTCATTTTGCAAAAATGGGCTATCATTATACACTTAACATTGGAATTTCTACCCCAAAAATCACAAAACAAAAGGGATATTCAGATAAACTTCATCACTGTAATTAAAAAATTAGCATAACTTGACTCATCCCAAGTCATAGGAAGAAAAGTCTTTGCAACAGTAAACTTTTAAGCCATGCACGATGGTGCAAACCTGTAATCCCAGCTACACAGAAGGCTGAGGCAAGAGGCTTGCAAGTTCTAAGCCAGTGTCAGCCACTTAGCAAAATCCTATCTCAAATTTAAAAAGTAAAAAGAGTTGAGGGTGTGAAGCTCAGTGGTAGAGTGTTTGTCTAGCAGGTGCAAAGCCCTGAGTTCAATCCCCTTTAACACACACACACACACACACACACACACAGAGTACAGACTTTAAGTACTAAATGGCTGCACATTTTAAAAGTGTCCAAGGAAATCATTCTCACCAAACCATCCCCTATATACAGCCAGATTTGCAGCACTCAGCACTATCAGGGCTTCCGTATACTCCCAGTCCTTTCTGCTTTGCTCCTTGGCTCCATCCCCTCTAGGCTCCAAGGTACCCAGGCTGGCCACGATCCCTCACTACCCCCTGGGAAAGGTCTCTGCATGGAAGGAAGCATGACACTGAGCCTTCTCCCTTCCCTGTGAAGTCACGCTTGCCTTCCTATTCCAAAGCGTTCATCTCTTCCCCCACTGAAGTGACTACTTCTCGCCCTGCTTGTGAAATGGGGACATCCTTGAAAACCTCTCAAGGTTACCTTCTTTTGTTTTCAAAGTTGTGATAGTGGCCGAAAAGTTGAGAACTTAAAACCTGGAGGCCCAAGGATTTACAGGACTTCATTCATAATGGTTTCATCTCTAGTCTCTAATTACATACATCATTAGCAAAGTGAGACACTGTTGCAGGGAGTCGTAAAGAAAGAGATGAATCTGTCTGAATTCTTAGACTGATGCTAATCGCAGTGAGTCTGATTTTCCACCTCAGGCGCTGTGCAGAAGAAAGTTTCAGAAAATGAGATTCTGCCCTAGAGGGATCAGACTGAGAAATTTTAAAGCTGCTGGAAGCGGAAGTTTTTAATCACTTTTAAATGATACATGTAATTACAGGCTATGTTTTCTTTTAAGTGATAATTTCCTAGAGTTTATGGAAATGAGATTTGAGTTCAGATTCAGATTCAGCGAATAAGAACAAAAATTAAACATTAAAACCTGATTTAGATGGTTTCAACCATGATTATGATTGCTTTCATGAGTCACTATTATTGTTAGAAATCATTCATTACTAGGTTGGTGTTAAAGATACTTGTTCTTGGCCATGCAGAAAATAATATCACCTAACTTAGTGATATTTACAATATCCCAGATTTAAGAGATGTCATGAAAATTTCAATGGATACTAACAATTCAGGACTAAAATGTTCACCAATAACTTAACAATATCAACAACAGAGGAAGGAGGAAATATAGATGATTTATCACACTTGGAGAAAGGGTTGAAGTTGAGGTTTGGCAAACAAGAAGGGGAAAAATCTAAACTTCTTCATTGGTTTATTCAGTAAGTATGGATATGCCAGGCTTCACAGATTCAAGGGTGAATAATATTAATATAGTTTTGAACTCAAACCAGGAGAGACAGTAAACAATGATCACCTAAGTATTAAGGGATAAGAGTCTCAAGTGGGCTGAATGTCAACTCTGCTAAACAGAGACTATGAAGATGGGAGTAGGGAGAAGAAAGCTCTTACCTCGTAGAGACAGCCTTACAAATTTTCATTCTAGCAGTTTCCGACCAAAGAGCCACCTTGGTTTTCAGTTCTTTATTCTAAAAGTAAAAAAGAAAGTGTAGCAATCAGAAGATATCTCATGGCTAGCTTAACCCATTAGCGATATCCTTAATGTTCTGTTCAATCCAGCACCCGCCTAACTCCTCGGCAGAATGTTTATAAAAAAAGCCAGTTAAAAATCATTAATACTTCTCTGAAGTTATAAATTCACACTGCGAACTGTATAATGTACCAACGAATTAAAACATAGTATTTTGATTTAGCTTATAAAACCCGTCAGCTGAGCTATCTAGGTTTTTTTTCAGGGATTCCTTTATACTGGCAAGAAAATAACTTATTAAAGGAATTTACTAAACATACTCCTAATGTTGATAACACAACTGTATCTTTTGTGCAACTGCTCACTTTTAACCCCATGAAAATAGACATCATCTCTACTGTTCAGAGTACCTTTAGCCTCCTCAGTTTTCTCCTGGAAGCTTTATATTCTTCATCTCTACATTAGTGATAAATGATACATGTCCTTCTTTTCATGGATAAGTTGTTGGAAGAAACAAATATCAGATAACTACATCTCCTATCTGAAAGCATTTTCATAACTGTATGATATAATAGATAACTCTTGATAAGAATATAATCTCTCAAATACAAATCTTTAGCACCACCATTTACCAGCTATGTGATCTCCTTTAGGTCACTTAATCTCTTTGTGCCTAATACGGTGTCTTTATCTGTATAACAGACATAAAAGCCCCTTCTTCCCAAGTTTAACATGAGTTCAAACATGTAAAGTACTCAGCTCAGAACCTAGCACAGATTTTATGGCTTAAATTCTGTTGGTTATTGTTTTCTAATCTAGATACAATTTTTATAACTGAATCTGAGGTCCAAAGTCTTTAAGTGTCCAATGTCCCTTTAATGACAGAGCTTAGGGTCAAGTTGGGACTTCCCAGTCCAGTGACAATATTTGCTTTAGTATACAACTAAGCCATTAAATTTCATTAAAGTGAGACTCAAAAGAGAGAAAGATCACCAACAGGGCTCACTGGCAGGCCAGAGGTCCTGATATCAGGCTAGATACCTTAAAGAGCAGTGCACACCTGTCTCGCCACTGTCAGCTGCCTTGTGTGCCCCATGTGCAAAAGGAGATCAATACACGTGCACACACACACATGCACGTATGCATGCATACACACACACATGCAGTACCTACACCACAGTATGCATCATGCATCCTCTGTGAGAAAGGAGGACAGCAGCAAAACTACCAACTCCTCGCTGGCTCTGCACCTTGGTTCTCCTCAGCACAGGGTAGCAGAGGTGATAGGCAAAAGACCAACCTGACTGAGGACAAGACCAACAACCTGGAGGAGAGTTTCACACTAGAACTGAGACCAGGTAAGTAAGATACAGCCTTGGCAGACAGGCTTGGAGTGGGTGGGAGCTAGACAAAAATCCATGGCGATCCCATTAGAAGCTCAAGCTCAGGCTAGGAAAATCACAGGATCTGTATTTTGTGGTGGGAGGCCAGGTTTTGTGGGTATAACCTTCAGAGGGGGCATCTAAAGGAGAATAGCATTTAGCCCAGTAGTCTGTTTGATTTCCAGCACCACTGCCTACATCCAGCAAAAACTAGTCTGATTTACTGTAAGTCATTATCTGGGTTGCCTAAGGGTCTACACTAAAACTATTGCTCTCTTTGCTTTGGTTAAGCATGAGTGGTTCTTAGGGGTCTTAGGTTTGTTAGTATCTAATTCATACTTGTTGCTATTGTTGTCAATGTCTTTATTATTATAGTTGAGGTGACATAGTTGCTGTTGTCTATTGTTCTTCTTTGTATGCCAGTATCTGGATTGCCTGGGGGTTATAAACAATATTGCAGCCTATTCCTGGAGATCTTGGCACTGGGCCAAAGAACTTGCACCTTCTCCCAAAAAAGCCAAAGTAGCTGGATCCTGGGACAGAGCCAAAGGCCAACAGTCAGCCACGCCCCCTAGATATATGCAACAAAAGTACCCACTACCGTGAACCAGCAAACCCTAGCACATCAAACAATCAAACACATAGATAGAAACATGAGAAGACAAGGCAAAAAACAATGCCTCTAAAAACTCCAACTCTTTAGAGCTGATCTAGGAGGGTGGAGAAGGAAGAAATCATAAAATACACAGACGAAAAGTCTCAAAGTGTATCTGTGAAAGAAATAATTCAACAAGGTGCTTGGAAAAAGAAAGAAAATATAACTAAACAGATAATGATCCTAATGAAACCAATGACCCATGCGCCTAGAGAAGACGCTAATAAAAATCCAGGGGAGGTAAGGAAAGAGATGCAAAACATGAATTCTTAGCACAGAAAAGGATGAGAGTCCATGAAAAAGTTCCAAGTAGAAATCCAGCAGATGAAAAATAGGATTGAAAATGTAGGCAGCAGGAGTGACTAATGTGAGGACAGAGTATCAGATCTACCTGACAGGGTTTTGATTAGTGATTAATTAATGAACAATACCTTAAAAACAACAAGAGGTCATGAAAAAATGGATCCAACAGCTGCTGGATGACTCAAAAAAGACTAATCTAAGTAACTGGAATTAGTAAAAAATCAGAAGATGCCACAAAGCATATAAAAATCCTGTTTATAGAAGTAATAGCTGAAAACTTTCCAGACATGGAAAAAAAATTTCACACACAGATAAGTGAGTCACTTAGAACACAGAATAGCCATGATCAGAAAAAAAAAATGTACTCCACACTACATCAATGGATCAGAATAGAGGAAGCAGAGGGAGGACAGGGGAATGGCATTTAAATCAGCATTTAATTGTCCAAACAATATGAGCACAAACCTATCCCTTCAACAAACTGTGAGAAATCAGCAGTATAATTATCTTAACTATTATATATATCTATATATCTATATATATAGATATAGATATATGAAAAAATCCTTAACCAGATACTGTCAAACAGAATGCAAGTCACATCATGTGCAGGTACACATTCTCTGATGAATGTGATCATTATGTATATCTAAAATGTGGCAATAAAATCTAATGTAAAAAAAGAATAGATGAAGCAGAAACAACCCCAGGCTCATTCAGCTGTTTGATCTTTGACAAAAGGGGCAAAAGACATACACTGGAGGAAAGATAGTCTATTTCATAAATGGTGTGGGGAAAATTGCATATCCACATGTAGAAGATTGCATATAGATCTATATACTTCACTGGGAACTAAACTAAAATCAAAATGGATAAAACATCTGAATGTTAAAACAGAAACTATCTGTTGAAAAATAAAATAGGTACAACTCTGGAAGACATAGGCATAAATAAGGACTTTCTAAACAGTACCCAATACCTTAAGAACTAATACAGAGAATCAACAGATGAGATCATATTATATTCAAAAGCATCTGCACAGCAAAGCACAATGCAATAAAATGAAGAGACAACCTAAAGAATGTAAATTTTTTTTTTTTGGCAGCTGTTCCTTGGACAGAGAACTAACATTTAGAATGTACAGAGAACTGAAAGAAATTAGACCCCTCCACAAAAATATAAAAGACTCATTCAAAAACAGGCTATTCAAATGAATAAACGCTTCTCAGAAGAAGTATAAATGTCCAATACGTACATAAAAAAGTGTACAATATCTCTGGCCAGTAGAGAGACAAATTAGAACTATAGTGAGATACCATCTTACTCCAGAAAGAATGGCTGTCATCAAGAAAACAAATAAAAAAATGCTGATGAGGACATGAGGGAAAGGGACCCTTCTACTCTGCTGGTGGAAATGTAAACTAGTACAATCACCATGGAAATCAGTGTGGAGATTCCTCAAAACCAGAAATTGCATTTGTCATAGATATTTCTTTTCTAGGTATCTTGCCCAAAGAGTTAAGAGCATCATATTACAGAGATACATGGATACCCATGTTTATAGAAGCACAATTATAATAGCTAGATCTTAGAAATAGTGTGTAAATCCATCAACAGATGAATGAATAAAGAAAATGTGATATTTATACACAATGGAGTACTACTATGCCATAAAGATAAACTTGAGACATTCATAGGCAAATGAATGCAACTTAAATAAATGAAACAAGTCAGACACACAAGCTTAAATATCACATCGTTTCTCTTATAAGAGAATATATAATATATATTATATACACATATATAATATATACAAATTAGAAAGAGAGACAGGGAGAGAGCAAAATAGAAGAGAAATAAGGCAGTAAGGAGGTCTTTCTCAAATGAGGGAACAAAAGATGGAGGGAGAGGGAGGGAGAGGAAGGAAGGAGGATGGGGGAAAAAGAATAAAAGGAAACAGTGATAATGAAAATGGATCTTTTGCCAATGGGAAGGGGAGTAAGAGTTGGAGGGAGCAGGGAAGGAGGGCAGTCGTAGGGGAAGGAAAACACCATGTATTATGTTTCCACACCAACTCAGCATGATACATTTAGTCATTACGTACTGCAGACATGAACACATAAATTTTTTACAGAGATAAAAAATTCAGTAAGGAAAAAAGGCACACCTGTGTGGAAGTGTCTGGGACTGACAGGCGACAGTGAGGTCATGGCTTTGAAAGAACAGCAATACGTTAGCTCCAATCCTTGTTAGGAAACCGAGTCATAGAGTGTCATACAATCTAAACCTTAACTGGCATTTCTAAAGACTTGCTGATTTGGAGTAAGCCAGCACCAAAATGCATGGTTTCGAGAAACAGACATTGAAAGTTTTGGCAAAATGAAGAAAGCCAGCTGAGCTTGGTGGCACAGGCCTATAGTCCTAGCACTCAGGAGGCTGAACGCAGGAGGACAGCCGAGTGTTCAAGGCCAGCCTGGGATACATGGTGACTTCAAGTCTGGATTATATAATGAAAAGTAAAGATGAAAATAATGAGTGCCTATCAAATAAGACTTTTGTCAGGTGTTTTGTATACATTCTTTCCTTTGATGGGGCTCAGCTCCATATAACACGCATATTATGCATTTTAACAGTATTTATATTATATATTAAGTTATA